ATTTTATATATTAGGACAATATTGGTGAGAAAGATATGGCAAAGAAGTTCATTTACGAGGATTTATTTAATTGTCAAAAGTCTTTCTATGAAAATACTATTTTCCACAATTATGACCAATTTTTAGTCAATTTAATCACTCAAAAGCTAAACAAAACGACAATAATTAGGAGTTTCTCGAGGGCTTCAACTCTTCAATGTTTGGGTTCGTTATAGTTGTTAATGAATTGATATATATTTATTAAATTTTAAAATTATATATTTTTTCTATCAATTACTACAAACAAATTAAAGACAAACCAAAGGTGACGATTAGTGGAGGAATAAACAATTGGGTTTATATCATAATAGGCATTGCAATTGGAGCTGTTTTGATGATTGTTTTAAAACTATTATTCAATTTAATGAACAAAGATTCTCATTTACTAAAAAGAAAATCACTTTATATTTATCCTAAAACTAAATATTCAGACGATATAAACTCGAATATTGAACTTTAAATTAATTTATTGTCAAATTTCATCTGTGTATCATATTTAGCTGGAAGTATCAGTTTTTAATGATTACATTTTATAATTGTAATAAAAATTACAAATAATATGTAATACAGAATAATAATTATTCTGAAAAAATGAAATAAAGTCGACTTTCATTAGTTATTCAATTATTCAATGAAATGGCATAGAATTAAATCAAATGCTAAATATGATTCATTTTTCTAATAAAATGCCAAATCATTTATTTTTTAAATTTGCCTTCAATTGAATAAATAATTTAGTTTATTAAGGTTTCGGTTATAAATTAAACAAAAAATGATAACGTTTAAAGCATATCTAACTTAGTACAACTTAATTAATATAAAGTATTGTCCATTAAATTTTTATTATATTAGATTAAAATTAATTTTATAATTAATTTAAATAATCAAACAAGATAATATCGTAAAAAATCATTTAATTACAGAAACTAGTGATAAATAAAAAATCACCGAAAATAAAATTTTTATTTATAGCAACATTTAAAGAATAATATATTTAGCCAATTATATTTACACTAATATTTTATAAATTAAATGTCACACAGAATACTACATTAACACAAAAATTTGTCTTGCAAAACAGAATTATATTTTAATTTATATCAAAAAGCAATACCATATATTTATATTTGCAAATTTTGTAATGGTATTAGTATTTTGTAAAATTAGTTATTTTTAATACTAGTACAGTATATTGTTAATTGTGTAAAATTTGTTGAGATAATGTTAAATCGAAATAATACTGAAATGATTGAATTATCGACAAACAAGGATTTCAAATATGAAAGAATGGATGATTCCGATGACGAGGAGATATATAGGGCTAGAAGTCATCACAAGTTAAATACAAAGAATAGAGTTTTAAAAAAATTGCGGCCAATCTTTATTGTATTGTTTTTAGTAATATTCCTATTAATTGTATTATTTGTGACAATCGCTGCGGTTATCCTATCGGAAAGTCCCGTCCACTATAGGGGACACAAAGTCTATAAATTATTACCACTTTCTATGAAAGACTTAAATGCTATCATTGGAATTGAGAAAAAATTTCAGGTATTTATAAACTTAATGATTTGTATTTTACTATATTATATACGGTTTTATAATAATATTGACACAAATGACAGATTGATTACTGGAATGAACCATATTTTAAAGACCCATCAGAACCCGTATTAATACAAATCAGTTCAACAGAAGTGGAGACACTATTGAGAGAAGAGTTGACTCAATTGAACATCAATTTCACGGTTTGTATCGAAGACCTGCAAAAGGCTATCGAAGAGGAAAGGGTTGAACACCAGAAACATAGCAATGAAACGGAGTTTAATTTCAGTCGATATCATACTTACGATGAAATTTTCGATTATTTGAAGACTGATGTCATTAAAAGTAATTTTGTTAATATCGACTCAATTGGCGAGTCTTTTGAAGGCAGAAAAATACCGGTTATTCGGATCAGTAGTGATCTGAAGGATGAATCAAAACCCATAATAATAATCGATAGTTTGATTCATTCAAAGGAATGGGTGACCGGCGCCACCACTCTCTTCATTATGAATCAACTCATAGCTAATGAATCGATGAGATATTTGATCGATAACTTTGAATTCAATTTAATACCCGTTTTCAATCCGGACGGGTATTTCATGAATGTTTTCATAAATGACTTGAATTTCAAGAATTTCTAATATTCTTAGGTATGCTTACAGTTGGAGAACCGATAGATTGTGGCGAAAAAGTCGCTCATTTTCTATCACATCATTCTTATGCCGTGGCGTTGATCTCAATCGCAATTTTGAGATCAACTTCGGCAGCGATTCTACTGAGGAATTGGGAAGTATTTGCAATGACTATTATGCCGGAGATTATCCATACTCTGAACCAGAAGTGATTGCGTTCAGAGAATTCACATTCAAATTGAATCAAACAAACCGATTGAAAGGCTATTTCTCATTGCATTCGTTTAATCAAAGAATTCTCTATCCATCCGAAGAACACAATCAACAGTTGACCGCAAATAG